AAAATAGAGAGATGATTAATAAGAAAGCTATAACCCAAACAAGATGGATCAGCATACTCACGGGCATCTCAGCCAAATTACTGTCGGAAAACCCACGATAACCAAAAGGGATTCCAACAATCTTTTTCACGCCATATATCTCAAGGGTGATGACTATCTGCAGTGATCATGAAGACACATAGAAGTCAAGATTCAAAACCCTGAACAGCTTTAAGGCTCCAAATCCAAATAGATAGCTAAAACAACATAAATTCCCAAAGGCCACAAAAAATTGATATCTCTGGCCTCTAAAGAACTAATATAAAATCAAATCCTACAGAACAAGAACATGCATATACATGAATAAAATAAAACAAATATACATATGTGCTTCCGGTAGATGGATTTCTGCTTTCAACTAGACAAATGGAACGCATTTAGATGTAAATGTAACAATCCACTTGTTAGTGTAGGGGAAAACCTGTCTAATAACATCATTGAGACCAGGACAAAGGCCGCCACAAGTGACAATGGCTGCTTTTACATCTTCTGGTTTGAAGTATATTTTTTCTCGGGGCCCAGCACGGTGGACCCTGGGGTCAGTGAAGTAACATGGTGAATTGAACTATTGAAGTACCAATTATCATATGGTGAAAAATGTAATATGAGGCATAAGAATAAAAGCTTGATGTAAATATTACTGGAACTGTGATATAGAAAATATATAGTATGGAAAGACATTTCATCATGAGGCTTTTTAGCATTAAAACTGTGTTCGTGTGTGGTTCTGTATCCATTGATCCTTGTCCAGTTGTCCCCCCGTATGAAGGGAAGTTTCAAGTTTTAATATCAAATCAACTTGATTAAAAAAGTTTTAGCTCTTAAAATGATCCTATATTTATCAGCCCCAAAAGTCAAATTAATCAGAAACATTTACCATTGCTCGAGCCATGTACAATCTGGATCAATGCATTCAGCACCTGCAGATGTAGGGGAGGAATAACGTATCACCTGAAACAATTGAAAAAAATAAAAGAACACTATTTCAAACGCATCCAACAAAAATAAAACCCAGTTCTCATTCAATAGAAAGCAGAGTCTCTGGTCCTTACAGCTATGTATTCTTATTAAACATGCAATAGTAATTTATGGTATAACAAATAATTAATGCATATAGGACCAATTATTTATTTAGCAGCCTACAAAGACCCATGAAACTATGTTTCCCGTGCTATGTTAATGTCATCAATCTTACTGCTCTAGGAGACAATAGACTTGCATAATCTAAATGAACACAAAACTAATTTCAACTTGATAAAAGTCTGATAAAATTAATGAAATAAATACAGTCACCACAGACTGATGTTGCATTTATGTGTATGTGTATCGTGTGGGTTGTGTGTGCGTGTGTGAGTGTGGGTGTGTGTGTGTGAAAGAGTAAGAGGAAGAGAAAGAGAGAGAGAGAGAGTTAGATTTTTATTTTTCAACTTCCAAAACTTCTACAACTACAGTCTCCCCACTAGCAGTTAAGTCTGCAAGATAGAAACAACGTCATTTAACACTAAGTGATGAATGTAAACGAAAACCACGACATCAATTATTAAAGTGAAACTATCATATAACACCCAAACTGTGAAAACTGATATTCTCAACAGATACACGCAGCAAGGATAGATACTCATGAGGGCGTGAATTAGGTGACCTTAGTTTTGCGCAAGAAGTAAAATTTGAAAAAGACAAAGAATATTGACCTATTCACTGAATTATGCACTAGAAGAACTTCAAAGAACTTCATCGTCAGCAACTGAACATTATATTTAACGACATCTTTCAGACGGCTACAAAATTACACTGCACATGGAATTCAAAGAAGTAAACCAGCGATACCTTAAGCAGTACTCTGTCATTGTTGTTAATGTAGCCGTGCCATTCCTCATCTGATGGATAACCTTCCGCAAACTCCGGACTTACAGGAGTCCTTTAAAAGAATCTCAAATTAGTCTTTTCAGAAAAATGACGAGGCTTTTATGTAAAAACTTTCAGTGCCAATCGATTTCAGACAATAATAAAAGTATAACCAAAACAAAACTACTCCAGAGTCCAGACACACAGGGATCATCTTTCGTGTATGAATTACAAAAATGGAAAGCTCGCTCCATTGCAACCAACAAGAACTCATAAAGCCACACAATGGAAGGAAAGAACATTGAAAGCTCACTCCAGCGAACACAGAGCATAAGAGAACCATAACCCCCAAAAAAATCGTATTCTTAACCTAAACATCGAAATTGAAGTTTGAGCAATAACCTCATTTTGAGGCAGAAAGTGGATGGGTACGAAACAGCGTCGTGAAGCACATCCGTTATGTGCGGGATGCGAAAGCGGGCCTCGAAGTCGTTCTGAAACATTGACTTCCAATCGGGATCGCTGAAATCAATGCTCGCCTGCTTTCCCGCTGGCGCTCTCACCTCGATTCTCCTCCCGACCCGGATCCGCTTCGAATTCGGGCTCTCGTTGCACAGAACAGAGAGCTTAGCACGATCGGAGCGAGCAGCCATCGGAGGCGGAACCAGGACCGGCTTGATCGCCGGCGAAAGTGCGTCCATTAATTAAGCAACTGACAGTATAGTGACTTTAGAGAAGACTCAAGACTGAAAAGGCTGTTTGTTGGGATTTCTCTTTTTTTTCAGATCCCTTCGTTTAAATACTCAACTGTTCTTGTTATTATTAAAAGCGGCTTTTTCATCGTAATGTGGAAACAGGCTTTACAACCCACGTTTCCATGCTTTTTTTTCTTTCGAAAAAACTGGTTTCCCACTTTTCTTTGGAAGGCTAGCTGTAAGACCAAACTCGGTCTGTCGTGACGGAAGTGAAAAGGAAAATCGATACAATGAAGTGTAATGTTTTTAGCTTTTTGGGACATTTTTCTCATTTCTTTTTCCTACTCGACCAATTTTTCCCAAATTAAACTCTGATAACTTAGGGCGTGCATGCCTCCTCACGGCCGGTTGTTACACCTCTCCGCGGAGATGCCGGACTCCGAAGCAACCTTCGCCTTCTCCGTCAGGTTTCGGCCTTTCGGGCGACCTTTGTCTTTTCTTGAGTTTTAAAGACTGTCTCAAGTAAAGTTTGAATCTTTGGTTAAGTGACCGCGCGTCGCGACGCGACAAATTTAAATTTATAAAAATTTCCTCAATTAACCTCCACTAACAAGTAGTAGCGGCGATTAATAGTCGATCCACGAGGATCCCACGAGGAATAGGAATTAAATTGTGACAATCTCGTATTAATTGAATTAAACCATGAAAACAATGGAGGTGGGGGGATTGGTTTTATAAAAATAAAAATAAAAATATCAAAATCAAATAAAATGAGAGAAGTCCAGTTTTCAGTTCAGTTATCACACAATCTAAATCTACCGCTAATTAATTTCGACGTCTTCTTTAAATCGCTAACGAATACCAACTCTAGCTAACAACAAGCTCTGTTAACCGAATTTTTCCTTACAGAATATTTAATAGAAATAAGCTCTTCGATTAAACCTAAAATAAGCTCTTTAAATTTAGTGCACTAGTAGCATTAATCTCTAGGAAAATAGATCAGTCTAAACAACAGACGCAAAAGTTCGGACCGTTTAACGAATGTTCACGCTACCCTAGAGATGCACGACCCCTAATTTACTACTAACGAAACAAGACAATAACAATTACGGATTAAAGTCCCGAATCTAGCAATTAAACTATGAACTTTCAACGTAGCTGGCCAAACTATTCAAATACTCATAATTCATAAACATTAAATACAGATAGCATGAATCAACTCATCAACAAAAATAAATACGACGTCTTAATTAACCAATGATAAAAATAAATCCTTTAATTCATAGACAAATTAAAGTTAGGGTTCAAACATCTCTTAAAACTGGATAAAAAGTCTGGCCTAACATATTAATAAAAATAAATATAGTAAAAAGACAAGAGAAAGAATAAAATTCTCTCTCTTGTGCGCTGGTACAGCTTCCCTCCACGTGTGGCGGCTTCTTTCTCTCCTGCGGCTTTTCTTTCTACTGTTCGCGTCTCTGTTCTCTTGCGACATAAATCCTCCTCGAAAATATGTTGCTCCCCCCTCTTTTAAGAGTCCAGGTCTCCACGGCCTTTTAATATCCACGCAATTAAAATCCTCCAACAATTAATTTGAGTCTTCAATTTGTCTTCTCTCCAAGCATACATACGTAGCTCAATTTCCTCTATTAAGCCAACAACTAAGCCCACTTTTGTCTATAACATGATAAGAAAGCTTTAAACTTTTCTTAATTAAACATGGCTTTGGGCTTAATTGGCCTGCTGGTAATGGGGCCCAATAATGACACGCGCAAACATTTGTCCAATACTTTGGATCCACAAAGTACTCTAAAATCCTAAGAATAACACATAAAATATCAAAGCAAGTAAATTCATCCAAATAATAAATAAGTCGAAAAATATAAACGTGCGAATAAATTAAACATATAAAAATACACTATTAAATATATAAAACACGCATATTTTTCGACCTATCATTAAGCTTGCATCTTTAGGTAATAGCTCTTAAATTCTTATTTAATATATATATATATATATATATATATATATATAATTACTAGTTGATGCATTTAATAAAATATTTAATAAAACATATTTTTCATTTCCCTTCAAAAGGAGTTACATTTTTTTTAATTAATTACTCACTAATCTGCTAAAACTGTTACACCTTAATATAATATATATATATATATATATATATTATTTATCTTTTGGATTAGTTACTTAATTCTAAATTTGGTAGCAAAATGTTCAAATGTGTAACGGCTAATGTTGAAACTTAAAGTTGACTGGCACATTCAGAGTTGTAACCGCTATATTTGGTTGCATTGTTGGAAGAAAAATATGATTGACACATATTTTTTCTTCTAAAAATCAGAAACACCAATAATTTTGTTTATTTATGTTAATTTTATTAATATATGCCCCAAATATATAAGTTATTTTATTCATATTACTAATGTAAACGTTGCATGGTTAAAATAAAATTTAAATCTCAATTAATTTTGAATGATAAAAATAACTTAAGAAAAAGTAATAATTTTTATATGATAGAAGTACATGTCTAATTAATAAATACAAATAAAAACGTATTTTATATCTGTGCAAATGCACAGGATCAAATACTAGTTAGCTTAAAATCAACTAACTCAATCTTGCTTAGAATGTTTAGGACTTTAATTTTTCTTCTTCGTGCCTTGACAACTAGTTAGTAAACGAAGCTCCAAGTAGTCTTCCTTGAAAGATGACTCGAGGTTTTCAATTACTCGGTTACTAATCAATTCCCAAAATCTATAATCAACAAAATGGTGATGTTACCGTGGAAGGCGAGTAGGATGCCATGTGTACTTGCTAGCTGTCGTTTGTTTACGTATTTCTCTTGCTTTTTGTGACTTTTGCTTAATTTTGTGTGTTACTCTTGATTTTTTCTTATTTTCTATTTCTCTTGTTATTTAGTCTTTGTGCTTTTGTAAATAGTGTGTCGTGCTAGTCATGTTTTTGCATTTTTCTTCTATTTTGTATTTTTTTTGTTGTCTTGGTTTTGTGAGTCTTGGTTTGTTGTTCTTGTACGAGGGTATTCGCTTGAGGTTCTTCGATGGACCCGTATGGCCATTCTAATGCCGGAAGCTTGTCTCGTGGATAACCCGACGATTACCAAGAGGAAATGTACCTAAAATATGGAGAGCCACCCCGTTCGAATCCTATCTATCCACCTTCTTATTCTCATTACGGATACTCTACATCCCATTGGTATGGACCGAGCCATTATTACCGAGCATCTCGAGCCGAATGTGGTTATAATATTTTGGGTCACAATCCTCCATCTCCAAACTATTACTATCTCGCCTCGGGATTATTATGATTCACCACCTCCAATCGAGCCGACTTGAGAAGCTTCTCCAAGTCGTTTAGACGAAATTATAGAAAAATTGGAGAAGTGCAATCAATCTCTACGCTCAATGGCACTCATGTCCTAAAATGAAAAAACTGGGTCCAATGTTCTATCCTCTCCTTCATTGGAGCACCAATCGGTTGGACAACCTAGCACATTGAGGTATGAGCTTCATTTTAAACAAGGGTTTAGCCTACTGAACGGTCTTGACAAGCACTCAAGCGGCACTTGCAAGCCTATATCGATCATTGTGGAGTTTCATATATTAGAGAAGTATTCTTGTTCCATCCGTTCTACAAGCGATACTAACGGAATTCGACTCTACCGTGGTTGCTTTTCTTGACTTGGATGCCTCTTAAGTTCCACTTGGGAGATATTGTTCTCTATCAGCAATGATTGTTTGAGAGAGAACCCGGTTAGAAGGCGGTTTTAAGCTATGGTGGATGAGTTTGCCTCCTTGAAAGAGATGGGTCTCACTTTCGTACATGATGGTAAACAATCTCTCGACACGAGTGAAAACATATAATTTTTTTGTTAAAGAAATATCCTCCATTGAGGATCCAGACTTGCATTCGATACTAGGTACGTCAAACCTTCTTCCGGTGATTGTGCTTTGACCTTAAATTCTGTTGTTGAGAGTGAGCGTGTGGAACTAGGTGTTGAGATTTTGTATGACATGGGTGATAATTCATATGAGGAGCTGATTGTGCCTATTCATGAGTTTGGTGATTTTAACGGTCTTGAAAAAGCTCAGAAGGGTGATTTTTAGGAGAACGATGAATTAGTTCATGATAATGTGGATTTGGGTTTCGAGAAATCGGGAGAATTGATTTATAATGATGAGCGGAAGAGTGAGTCCATACTTCATGATGTATTTTCTCCGATGGATGAGGATTCCGATCCGTTGCCTTTGATGGATTATTCGACTCTTGGTGTTGAGTATGAGTGGTTTCCATATACTTCGGGTCGCCGTTTCGTGTTATTGAGGATAGTGGCTATTTGAAGGAGTTTAGTGCTTTTACGTCCATTTTTTCAACTCTTTAGATCGTTAAATACACATCCGAGATGACACTCATGGTGACCGAGATAGATTCAAGGTGCTCCACGGACATGTTCACATATCCGGAGGTTGATTATGTTACATTAGTTCGTAAGGATTTAACTCTTTTCTTGGTGATTGTCGATATTTATGTTCGGTTTCACAAGAACATGGCCACGAGAGAACATTTGGCCCGCCTTTGTTCTAATCTACCGTCTTGACTACTTTTGGAAAACACCAAGGCGTGGCATGATCGTCATTTTTTTCATGGATCCCGATTGATTTTGGTTTGGGGACGTAGAGCTCAAGATGTTTTTGTCGTTTCACTTAATGCCACGTGTCAGCCTCTTAAAGTCTTAACACTTTTTCTTATATATATAGGAGAGTGATTTCTTCAATTAAAAATATATATTACACAAGTTCTAACATTAGATATAAACAATAATTTTATTTGTCTTGATAATTTTTTCAATTTTTTTTTTTTTTGTATTTTCTTGAATATTAACTAAATATATCAGTTATATGTAATATTGTGGGAGAATGATTGAGGACATTTAAGAGAATATTACTTAAGCTAAAAAATAAAATATTACACATTAGTAAAGTGTTATAAGGAGTGTTACCTCTAAAAAACCTGCTAAATGCTAATGACAAGGATAGTGGAGTGTGCATTTATGCATTAGATTTTAGTTTAAATTTATGCATTTTATGTACACAATACGTGTCACATGTGTGCCCACATGTTCATTTTGGAACATTATAAAGGAGAAAAGGTTGCGGAACAAAGTGCGACATGGCAAGAATTTTGAGATGCAACAAGCAAAGCTTTGGATCTATCAACTTTCTCAAACATATACGAACTTA